TAAAATCATGACAGATGGAGGCAAACTCCAGGAAGCAGTGGCGGCTGGTGGTATAAGACAAAATAGTATAGTATAGTAGTCAAACGTATACTGTTATCATTATTTATAAAAAATGCCAACAAAAGAAAACATTATAAAAAAAAACTCGATAAAAACAAAACATAATTTCATGTCCAGGTTTACTTTTTGTGCATTAATCTTGCCCTTCTGAGGCTTTTTGAAGGTAAATCTGTGTTTTCATGGTTCAATATACCTAAAATAATAATGTCCCAGTTTAATAATGGAGAAGCTATTAGTCACCTTTATATTTTTCTAATATATAAAAACGATTTATTTTTTGAGAATGTGTTTATTTAAGAGCAACTAAAAGTAGAATATATTCTATTATTTTCCACGTCAATCCCAGATTGTTCTTTCTTCTTTACCTTTTCTAAAAAGTGCTTTAAATCCGTCCTAGCTGTCTTTATCCAGGCTGGGTAAAGCACGTTTGAACAGGAGGCAAGGGAAGCAGAATACGGCGTTAGCCTTGCTGCTCTTGCTCCATTTCTCTCTCTCTCTCTCCAATGCGTCTACTACTGCTGCGACTCGACCTGTCAATCACATTAAAATGTCTGCACTGTGGCGAGAGGTGGCGAGCAAATACACTTCCTGTCACCTCAGGTGTAATGCAGAGGAGCTATAGACCTTTTTCGCACTTCCGGGTTTTAAAGCGGATGTGGGGTTTGACAACTTCCGGTGGCTATAGCGTTAGCATAAAAGTCTAAGAAAATGACTCAGTCTCGGCGCAGTTGTTTTTGTTCTGTACCTGGTTGTTCATGTGGGGCAAGAAAACAGCCATATCTGTCCTATCATGCATTCCCACAGATTATGTTGCAACCGCAACAGAAACATAAAACAAATAGTAACAACTGAACAGGAAAATGTTAGAATAAGCTCTAAGTAGTCCAGAAGTCGTACGTGAAAGTTCTTCAGCCGTCAAACATGAACAGGAACCCGAACCAACGAACAAGAGCCAACCGGCTTTCTGACTGTTTCAAACCTGCAGCTTGTGCGGTTCCTCATTTTTCTTCATGGATCTGAAGCATCTAGCTCTGACAACTACCTGTCCCTCGACAATATTTGACACTACAGGCATGCAGAAGTAAAGCATAGTTTCAACATCAAGCATCATCTAGAATCTCAGAACTAACATAACATTCTAGCATGCTGTTTTTCACAAACTGTAGTGGCAAACAAATTTCAGAATGTCAAAATATAACTGAAAAGTTTAAACTATGTCCGTCTCCAATATTCCACATAATTTAGATACTAAGTTAGGCTTCATTACGATGTTTGTGTAGCTCATATCTTGCAGCTAGCGGTTAGCTCGCTAAGCTACGTCTTTTCTTACCTTGATAGCTGTGGATATATTCTTCGTGGAAGAACTTTTATCCTTTCACAGATTTGTTGGTGGGGGAATTCGCCGCAGCGATTTCCTCCGCATCCGCGAAAGAAAGTGTTGGCAAACTAAGTAAGGATGACGAAAAGCACCGGAGGAGAGACATTTTTCAGAGTAAAACAGGAAGTGCTCCAGCCCTTTCCGACGCAGCTTCCGGTTGTCGTGAAAAAGGTCTATTGCACATGTACAACTTTCAACGAGAGTCTATGGGTAAACATTTTTGCGCCCTAAGGCAGAAACACAAAGCAAAATTTTGTTTTACTTGTCATTAATTCATATTCTTTACCAGATATCAGTTTAAAGATGACTGGGTGTCATTAGGCAACAAAAAACCTGTTTTTAAACAGATATTGAGTCTTAGATCTATATTACATGAGTTCAGGGTGGTGAAAGCATCTTGTAAATAAAAGAAAATTACATATTTGTTCTGGAAACTATTGAAAATTGGTTTAAAGTAAAGCCTCCTAGTCAGCACCACTGACTAGGAGGCTCCTGTTCATTAATAGGGTTTATAGCAGCAGGCAGAGACCCGGGACAAAGAATGAGCAATGGATAGTTTCCCCAGGTGTAACTAACCTCAGACCCAAGCTAACATTTAAACCAGCCATGGTGTTGCACTGAGGTAATAGTCCAAACCACTGCAACGCCACACAAACCTATAATAGGATTAAAATTGTTTTAATTATTCAGTTAATTAAGTTTTGCGTCTTCAAAGAAAAACGTGAGCGGTATCTCTGTGTTGTTACACGTTCAGAGCCGTTTTCTACATCTTGCTCATAGCAGTCATTTCACTGGTGGCAGAGATAGTTGCTAGGAAGCCTTTACAGTCTGGCTTTTCACAGTGGGCCCACTGCCACAGAAAAAGCAGTACATCGCTGCAGATGCTACGAGATGAGGAAAGCAAAGTTATCCCCTGCCAAGAGTCTGAATTATCTGTGCTAATCCCACAGACTGAAGCCCAGGATCTGACATGGAAAAACAAAAGCTTTAGTTCCACAGTGGGATGGCGGTGAAGACAAAGCTGAGGTACAGCAGAGGCCTCAACCTTTTGCCAAAATGGATTTAGGACAAAAAAAAAGGCACATTATTACGAAAGTTAAGAAATGAAGATGAGGTACCAAACTATGGTGACATGAAATAAGATTTGTTTTGCATTTTGAATGTTCTCTGAATAATCTTTAATGGAAATGTCTTAAAAGAAGTTTAACTAAAAAAGGACAAAAGTTGTTTTTATTTTAGCCACTCTGTAGAGATTTAAAGGAATAGTACACCCAAAACATGATTAGCCTTCATTTTCTACTCACCCCCATGCTGAACAACACTCTGGAGTACTTTTTTGATATCTCAAATGCATCTGGAGATCTGGGAGGCTTCTTGCTGTCTGCTGACATTCAAATAATGGAGGTCTATGGCGCCCGAGGCAGAAAGGTCCACAAAAGTCCACAAAAACGTGTCAATATTCCTCCATACTGCTCTTCCAATGTATTCCAAGTGTCCTGAGTGGGTAGCATCCAGAATTTACTCGAAACGAAGTCATTTAGAATGTTTTTAGAGCATAAACAGTAGTGTATAGTATTTCCTAATAGCGCCCCCATGCGCGCTCACGATTCTACGGAAGCCGGCAGACCAAACCAGCGCATTCAGCTCGGCAAAGAACTCATGCTCTTCCTCAACACTGAAGTCCTCAGACATTTTTCTTTCGTTGTTTCTTTCTTTGCACAGGTAAACAGCACATTTCTTCTTCTACGCTTGCATTATCGGCAGAGCAGACGCTGAATGCGCACTTTCTTCCGGTTTGGTCTGCCGGCTTCCGTAGAATCGTGAGCGCGCATGGGGGCGCTTTCAGGAAATCCTATACACTACTGTTTATGCTCTAAAAACATTCTAAATGACTTCGTTTCGAGTAAATTCTGGATGCTACCCACTCAGGACACTTGGATTACATTGGACGAGCAGTATGGAGGAATATTGACACGTTTTTGTGGACTTTTGTGGACCTTTCTGTCTCGGGCGCCATAGACCTCCATTATTTGAATGTCAGCAGACAGCAAGAAGCCTCCCAGATCTCCAGATGCATTTGAGATATCAAAAAAGTACTCCAGAGTGTTGTTCAGCATGGGGGTGAGTAGAAAATGAAGGCTAATCATGTTTTGGGTGTACTATTCCTTTAAAGCCTCTTTTAAATCATTCAGTGGAACCTAATCTCTCCGCTTTATGGTTCTTTTTCCCAGTCTCACTTTTATAATTTTATCCTGAACACCAGCCTCATATTTTTCATTAATACTCTATTCAATATCACAGACTTATTACATCATTTAAGGAGACCAAGATCTAATGAAATAGGTAATGGGGAGACTATTGTCTTAAATGCATATTATCAGGGGCCATCCTGATTAGATAAATGTTACTTATATTACCTTTTCTTTCACTTCCTGTTTTATTTTGTACTCATTTCCTCTCTCGTTTTAGGCAGCTTCACTTCCTGAGTTCCTTCCTGCAATCAGGATCTTCTAGCGTAATGCCATTCACCTGGTGTATGTTCTCCTCTTTTGTTTGTTAGAATATTTAGTTCTCACCTTTGCAGCTTCCCTTTGCCAGTTCGTCTTCTTAGAGCTTAGCGTTCCAGCCTGTAAAACTTTAGCTTTCTAGTGTTTTTGACCCCAGCTTAAATGTGGACCTCTTTACCTCCCTTTTTGATACCTCCGTTTCTGCTGGACTTTTGGTGTTCAACCCAGGACTGTGTTAAAGCAGTGGCGCCTCCAGAAATTTTTCATAGGGGTGGCCAGATGGGGCCACTTAAATTCTTGGGGTGGCACACTGAAGCTAATGGCCATATTTTCAGGATTTTAAGACTTAAATAAACACCTATCGATATATTTTGGGTTATTGTGTGATTTTTAATGTTACTAATGATCTAATGTGCATAGATATAGACCAGGGGTCTGCAACCTGTGGCAAGTGGCTCTTTGGACCTTCCACAGTGGCTCTTAATAACTTTGGCTACACATATTTTTATTGTGGTAATTAAATGTAATAATGATAATAAATACAGGTTTTAGCAGTTTTTTTTTTCTTGGAATAATTGCTATTAATTTTCACAACAGAATGATGGTGAAAGTGCCAGAAATATTTAATTTTAAATCCATATTTTTCCATTATGTTGGAAACTATGATTTATTTTACATCCTTATCCACAAATGTCAGCATCCCATCCATCATCTTTTTTTAAACCTCAAAATAGACATAAAAGGGCGTTTCTTTAACAATGACAACATATTTCCTACAGTAGATCTTTATCTAAAATATAACTTGTCCTTTTTCAAAAGGCCAGGCAACATTTGGGGCTCTGAACAAGTTTAATTCAAGTGGACTGAAGGCAAAATGGCTCTTTAGACTGTAAAGGTTGCGGCCCCTGATATAGACCAATAACAGTACAGTTAAAATTTTGAGTTGAACAATAATTGCTTTGTATTATCTAATCACATTAGGAATAAGGTGTAATTTTATTCATTTATTGAAAAATAAATTATACTGGGGAAAAGCAGATACTGGCAGATAAAAATAAGAAATTATATCTTTATTTATGTAACAGGAATTTCCCAACAGGGAACAACGGTCATATAATGATTACAAGGATACAAAAAAAAAGATTACAAGAAACACTTATATGTTAACTTATTCTTAATATATAAAAATATATATTATATATATGTATTATATAAATATACAGAGTCTTTACTCTGAGAATATTCGAGCCATTTATATCTGCTGTACCACTCTTTAGAAAAACATCTTTTCCTGTCCCCATGACAGGTTCTAGGGAAGATGTTTAGTTGTGGCTGCTTGGGCTGTTCTGCTCTTGACTGGGAGATATCTGCAATGAAACAGGAGCAAAAGTTCGTTATTCTGAAATCAAAATGATGACACTAATAATAAATGATAATAATACCAGAATCTCCACCGTAATGAATAATTATAGCTGTATTAATTGCCTACAGGCATTTTGATTCAGAAAAATGAAAACTAACCCATAAACATTTTTTTTTTATTAATCAAAATTAATAAAAAAAAACTTTAAGTGAGTCCTTATTGATTTGTGATTTAATGGAAACACAAACAAAACATACATTTCTTTCGAGGATATTGTTTTCTAGACAATTCACTAATTTCATTTATTTCATTTTTATGGCCACATGGTCATAACTTCACCTGTTGGTCCAGGAACACCTGCTTTTGCTGAATCCTACCATGTTTCACTGATCAGTGGTGCTGGCTGTTCCTGCTCTGCTGTCTGATGCTTTTCCTCATCACTGTCTACTATCTCTGACTCTGTTTCCTCGTCATGCTGCTCTATCTGTTGCTTCCCTCCATCCACCTCCTCTTTCTCCTCCTTCTCACTCGCTCTCTGTTGATCCCCTGTCATCTCTTTATCTGTTTCCACTGTTATTTTCTTCTTAAAATAAGAAGATATATCTCTGGACTTTCTCTTCATTGTCTGGAAATTGACAAACCATACATAAGCACAAACAACGTTAGCTACGTAACTCTGTCAAAAAGACACTCAAAGTCGCTGTAACAGGAGCTGATACAGTTCATTTATGCCCCTCTTCTTTTACAAACGAACGATTTGACTTATTTACTTACCGTTAGTCTTGTTCGCTTTCTCTATGACTTATTTTAATCACTGTTGAAGGCGGGCACGCGCTAAACTGTAGCTGTCGGAGAACGCAACTGCTGCTCGATGGGACGGAGTGGTGGCGGGAGGGGGAGGGGAGCGGCTGGTGAGCTACGGTGCGTGAGAAGGTCAAGAAGAGCGGCAGTGTTGCTAGCTCTGCATAATGGGATAAACCGCTAAACTGACACTACTACCATTTACACTGGTGAGTGGGGTGGCCAGGGGTGGCCAGGGGTGGCCGTGGCCACCCCTGGCCACCCCCTGGTGGCGCCCCTGTGTTAAAGGAACTTTGAGTTTGAATCCACTGTGTCAGGTCTTGAATTTGAGTCATACTAACATAGCATACCTATTACATTCTGTGAATGCATAGGACCTGGTATTAGTAATATCAGCCATGCACCAACAGACCATTGGCCCAGAAACCACAGATATGTGACAATTAGCCTCCAACATGCATAATTATTAACCTCTGGCATGAGACACATTGATACAGTGTAGAATTCAACTTGAACTACACATTTTGATCTGGGAGGGAGGAACATTCAGTACGGTTCTTTCAGCTCGCATTTTTAGCCAATCACAGTCACTAGAAGAGGAGCAAATCAAGCTGCACATGTATATTGGCAGCCATTGTAAATGGGCCTTCCCAGTCAAATGGCAGCCAAGTCTCACAAACCCATTGGAGGTCCACAAAAATAGAAAATTAGTTTTCTAAAGATCAGCCACCCAAGAAAAGAACAACCAGGTTTACAAGCTAAATCAATGGGAACTACTAGACACATCTGCAATCAACAACAATTATTGAAGATTTCCAGAGGACTTCACCATTGAAATTCACCAGAGCTATAGTGAAACTGACAATGCCCACGTGCATGGCAGCTGGATGCTGGAATACATCGGGTAAAAGTGAAAAAAAGAGTTATTCCACCTTTCTGATTCCTGATCCTCCACGGACGGGTTGGTCGTTGGATCGCCAACTTGAAGAGGGAGGATTTGCCATCGAACTTCTGGCCAGAGAAAAAACCCGTAATATGTAGCCAACATTTGGAAGAAGAATGTTTTCAAGATGACTTGGATAATAGCGCGTTGTGACAAACACCAGATACAGCACTGGGACTTGATCAACAGCCGATACCGCACCGTGACGTCACTAACCAGTAGGTGGCAGTAGTGTTCTTTGACAAACATGGATGCCTCCAGTAAAGCACATTCACATGAAAATTACTCTGAATTAAAAACACTGATCATTTATTGAACAGGATGGAATCATTTCAGATTTAAAGAACTTTCATTTTCATCTCTTCTTATTTTAATTGAATATTAGGGAATAATGTCTTTGTCCATCAGGTCAGGGTGCAGACTGGGTGAGGTATTTAACAGGAATTTAGCAACAGAAAAGCAGATTCTAACAGATGTAGTCATAGTAGTCACTGTTGTTGAACCCCAGCTTTTTTCTTTAGTACCAAATATTTGAAAAGCCTCCTTAACTCCACCTTTTCTCTTTTTACAGAGAATATATCACAATGCTTTGCAGAAGCTAACTCACCATGTCGCAGATACCCTGCCCTGTCTCACCTGCTTTAACATCAATGTAAAATAGCTGTGTTCGAGCGCTTGAGGATATGATTTTTCCATACAATTTTCGAGTACAACAGATCGATTTTCCCTTCCAGGAGCAGAATGAAGCAAAAGATCATTTACTCTGTTATTACCTTCCACAGACACAGACAGAACTGTCAGGAATTCAATATACAAACCATGACGCTGGCATTGTAATGCAAACAGAAATAATGTTTGTTTGGCTTTGTGGCGGAGGGCAAGAAGTACCTCAGCTGTTCATCATAGAAGCATTTTAATCTACTGCTTGATACCCAGAGACGACTCAGTACATCAACAAGTTCCTGCAAACAGCACACACCACACACACTCCTTCAACCAGTCCCTTCTTATGTGGAATTTGTAATGGCTGTGTGACTTTGTCACAATGTATTTTTTTATTCTTATTAACTGCATGGGTGCAATTTATTTTCCTCTGGGGCGATGGAGGTGGTTGTGAGTGAGGGCGACTCTGGCTGGAGCTGATAAGCTGCTGCTTCCACACAGGCCTGCTGGAAGGACCAGATCTACCAGGAAGACAATGTCCACGAGGTCAGGAACACACACGCCCTGACAACACACACGGTAGACGACAGCCCTACGCTCATCTGCTATCTGCACTTAGGAGGACATTTCCAGCTTAACCTCTAACCTTTATGTCTCTGAAATATCTTTTTATAAGAAAAGCTAAGTTGGAATAAATAACAGGCAGTTCCAACTGAACTAGAAGATTTACCCACATGTATATAATATTGTATAGGTAAGATTTAATATTATGAATATTATGTTATATAATACTACTGAAGCCCAGAGCGGTCCTGTTTTTCACAGTAGTTTTCTCGAGAAAACAAGTTAATTTTCTCATTATCTAAAGATAACAAAGACATTTTCTAGTCCTAACGCGATGATTGGTGTTTGTTAAAAAATGATTACACCACAACAGCTGGAGAACATTTATGAGTCATGTCTGCCTGTGTGTAATTCTGTAAATAATCCTGTTTTTAACTTTTAGGTAACGAGACGACGTTGTTGGTTTGCTTCCACTTCTGATTCATAAGCAATCAGCCCTATGCCTCCGGGTGTTTTCTGAACAGCCCAAGTGTTACGCCTGCAACAGCTATAAGATGCATTAACCCCCAAAATGAGTCCAGATCAAAGATTTTCAATAAAAAACAGTCAGATGTGTTTCTACTGTATTCCATGCAATCCAATCATCCACCACCACCTGACAATTAGTGAAAAGAAAAAGGAAACAAAAAAACGGATTATTTGCACACAGGCGGTACCGCGACTGCGCAACTACGGGCCCCACAGGCATGGATGGACTGGTAATCCAGGGCTGATGGCCAGCCTCGTTCATTACTAATACAGGTTAATCAGTTCGTTATCAGTAACTGTTTCCTCGTGATCACAAGAATGTCATGCAACTATTTTTGGCATTTACTTAATCATATTTAGTTAATTTAACATAATTGTTTTATGTCCTACCCTGCTAACATGGAACAATTGTGTTAAAGTAACTAAGTATCATTAAGTAAATGCCAAAAGCTGTTGCATTTGTCAGGACTCCTGTCTGTGTTGTTTGTGTTTTGTGTGTTTGTCTTCCTTCCTCCACCAGGTGGCGCCTGATCCCGATTCACCTCCTCACACACCTGCTCTTAGGCTGCTGACTGCCACTACCTCGACACCAGAGTGTTTGCCAGTTTCGGGTACTCTAGCCAAGCTGAGTTTTGCTGATTTAAACTGAGTTTTTGTCAACCTGAGTTTCAATCTTGCTATTTTTGTCTTTGCTTCTCAGGAAGTAATCCTGCAAACTGGACGTTTCGGACCTTCTCTCCCTGGAAGGATCAACTGAGCCTCAAACTGAGCTGGGGATTCAAACTGGAGGTTTGGATCCACTTTCCTCCAAGGGGTCATTTGAGTTTCACACAGAGCAACGGATTCAGCTGCACCACAGTCTGCATGTGGGTCCGAGCACTTGATAAATTCATGACAGCATTACTTTTTTCAGTGTATCTCAAGAAGGCAAAGGAAAAACACCACCTTGGCTTCCTTATAATACTGTTTATATTATATGAATATTTAAATGTGGTGAAATACTGAAAAAGAGGCCATATTTTATTGATTTGTGCGGAGTTGACCGAAGACTAAAGTAAACAGACAATAGAGAGCACCTTTAAGCCACACCCACTAACTAGAAAAGTAAAATGGAAATGTATATGCTTCTTTTCACAGTCCAAAAACATGACTTTTAGGTTAATTGGCTTTTCTAAATTGTCCTGAGGTGTGAATGTGTGTGATCAAGGTTGTGTTTACTATAGTGTTGCCCTGCGACAGAGTGGCGACCTGTCTAGGGGATATCCCGCCTCTCGCCCATAGACTGCCGGAGATAGGTACTGGATGGGGGGAGCTCTACATCATTCCTCGATCAGGGACGAAGAAGACTGAATGCTCTTGTTAGCTTGTTGGCTTGTGGCATTAAAAGTTGCGCACAGACCAGATGAAGCTACTATGAGAAAAAGCAGAGAGAGCAGAAAGTTAGAGATTGAACTAACAATCTAACTAGAAGCTTTATCAAAAAGGAAAGTTTTAAGCCTAGCCTTAAAAGTAGACAGGGTGTCTGCCTCACGGACTAAAACTGGTAGTTGGTTCCACAGGAGAGGAGCCTGAGAACTAAAAGATCTGCCTCCCATTCTACTTTTAGAAATTCTAGGAACCACTAGTAAACCTGCAGATTGAGAGCGAAGTGCTCTGTTAGGAACATAAGGAACAATCAGATCTCTGATATCAGATGGAGCTTGGCCATTTAAGGCTTTAAAGTAAACTTTTGAAACAGAGGCCTCCTTATTTGCAGTCGATCTGCAATCAGCCAAGCAATTATTATCACTCTTAAGTTAAAGCTACAGTGTGTAATTTTCAGCGACATCTAGCGGTCAGACTGCAGACTGCAGCAACATGAACGTCTCCCCCCCACCGCTTCTCCCCCCCAACAGTACGGCGAGCGTTACGGGACAAAATGTCTTCCACGACGTCCGCATCACCTACCTTCTCAAGTGATGAGGTTTGTTTACATAGATAATTTTACAGATAGTATTTCATTAGTCTGTGTAGGGTATAGATTTCATGTAGACTTAAGATAATAAATATACCCGTTATTTTTTCTACGTCGTTGTGACGTTTTGGTGAGCTGCTTTGCATGGTGATATAAACAGACGAAGTAATTGTAGTCATTAGTTTAACAGCGAGATTGTGTTCGCTGGAAGAATATATATTCCCCGTTTACAGAGTCCAAGTCTTGTTTGTGGCACGGGGGTTACAAGGCAAGGAAGAGGGCAGAGAGGCCGGGGTGAGCGTGCAGCTGGGGCCAGGCGAGAGAGGGGAGCCAGCGGGGTGAGAGCAGAGGAGGAAAGGCTTGAAGATCTCCAAAGGAGCCGGAGAGAAGTAAGGTATATATCCAGAA